GATGCACTGATATRTGGAATAGGTGAAGATAAGGAACTATTTTTGTGGACAGATGGAATTAAATATACTTTGCAAGATCAGATTTCTGTTTTCAGCAATTAAGAAATAAACTTGGAACTTTAAACTTTCCTACTCAAGAGTTTGTCAGTTTCAGTTCAGGTTTCTGTATCCTGGTGTTGTTTCCAATGGAGAAGACAGAAACTGAARTGAGACCTATATCTGACATATTTTTTGCCTCCACGATTTGCCAGGTTAGAAGCCTCTCTCCATATTCCAAGAAGATGGATGTAACAGAAGCAGAGTGGAAGGGGAGCAAGATGGAAAGTGACTAAGAGGTCATGAAAGTAAGCAAAGCTTTAGACAGTCTGTGGATCTTGGGATGAGGAAGGAGAAAAATTRAAGCATGGAGTGTTCCACATAGAAGGTATCTCAGTAAAAACTCTGGCCTTTATTGAATGACTGGAGGAGTGATGGCTAACTAAAATGTATTGGGATAACAGAACAAGCACCCGTGCATCTGTACCAAACATAGGAAATAAAACTATTGCAAATATTATCAGAGCCTCTTGTGAACTCTCCCTCATTGCATTCCCCTGAAGTTGGCATCACTCTTCTGGACGTTTTATATTTCTAATACATATGTATGAATTCCATAAATATATGTGGTGTTATTTTGCATATTTTAAAAATTATAGAAATGCTATTATGCTCCCTATATTTTTTAGCAACTTGCTTTTTCAACATTGTCTTTAAGATTTATTCATATTTATATATTTAGCTCTTATTATTTCATTTTAACCATTGCATAAGTTTTATTTTATGAATAAGTAGATGTTTATCCAGAGCCCTATTAGCAGACATTTAATTTTCTTTTGAAGGTTTATTTATTTATTTAGCTATTAAAACCAATGCTGCTATAAATATTTTGGTAAACTTCTCTTTGTGTACATGTGTGAACCAAGCATATCTAACAGAAGAATCTTTGCCTTGAATGCTGTGTATATTTTCAATRTTATTTAATATTTCAAATTGCTTTTTAACCCAACTGAACCAATTTACCCTCTGCCAGGAATATTTGATCCTCATTAACAGTTTTTATTTTATCCAATCAGATGCATGCGAAATCATATCTTATGTTTTCAAATAACATTTTTTTTTCAGAATAAATGTGCACTTTGGCATCTTTTATTATGTTTACTGGCCATTTAKTTTCCTTCTGAGTAAACCACTTGTCATATCTCTGGTGGTTTGGTACTATTTCAACATGGCCAGGCTAGAACTATGCTTACCAGAATCCCCTTCCCCACATGATTTCCATTAGTCATCCAAAACAGAAAATCATATGAGACTAGGAAGGGAGAAGTAAAGCAACTGCCATTTTTCTTTGGAGCGTATCATGACTAGAAAAGGTAAGAGACAGACACTGATATATTGGTAGCTTCCAGCATGTGCTTTCTTTACCCTCYTATGTGTAGCTCTTCTTCCTGGTTATAGGACTTGCCCCATGAGATCCAGAAGCAGCAGCATTCCACAGAGCCTGTCTTACTTCCAGCAGCTGGAAGAACCTGTCTTCAGGAGGACTGRGCAGTGATTTTTCTGTATTATCTAATTTTCCCCTTTGGAACCCAAGTTCCCTAGTTACTCCTACAATTATGTAAGTTTTTATTTTGGTATAAGTTCCTCAGAAAACAAAATAAAACAACATAAAACTAGAAAACCTGGAAACTTGTGAACAGCAAATACAGAAGCAGGAACCCCACAGGCTAAGATCTGGGAGAGAAGACAGGAACTGAAATAAACCCAGTATCTGATATAATTTTTGTTTCCAAGCATTTGCCCGATGATAAGCCTCTCTCCATATTCTAAGAAGATGAGTGTAATGGAAGCAGAGTGGAGGAGAAGCCAGGTAGAAAATGACTAAGAGGTCATGAAACTGAGCAAAGCTTTTGGCAGTCTGTGGACCTTGGGATGAAGAGGGAGAAACATTAAAGCAAGGCTTGCTCCATGGTGAAGAGACCCTGGTAAAATCTCTGGCTTTTATTGAACRACTGAAGGAGTACACTAGGGGATTGATTGCTCACCAGAAATGGGATAGAACTTATAAAACTGGAACCCAGTATTGTTTAAATAAAAATAAAAATTATCATCAATGGAAATATATAATGTTGCAATAATATAAATGCAAAGGGTAAAGAATGTTTAATTTGAGGCTGTGGTTGGAGCATTTGCCTAGCACATATGAGGCAGGGTTCTAGCCTCAGCACCACATAAAAATAAAAAAAATAAAGAAAGAAATAAAAAGTTTAGTTTTTTTAAAAAAGAATATTTAATTTGAAAATCTGCAAAAGTATTACATTCTTTATCTATAGATAAWTCTATAGATTGTTGCCTTGATTAGGAGATATGTAARTATCGATGTCTACATTTCCTAAAGGAAAAAGGAAATATATATGTCTGTTTGCCAAAAGTCATCTCACCATCCTCTGTTCATATCTAGCTGCAAAACTATGTATCAAAAAATTCAAACATACTGCATCAAGCCAATTTATTTATAACTTTTTTAAAAGGATAGATTTCTAGTTCTTAGTTGTGCATGTATAAGAAGATTAAAAGTCTTCACTCTATCCTAACAAGTAAAAAGCTCAACAAACTGAAAATTCAATACATCTTTCTGGATTCATAAGAGTAATGAAAACACTGGACAAACTGGTGCCCCAAATTTTGAGAGATAATYGGGAATAGAGAAAATTACAAAATAGTGAAGCTGTGAAGCCTCCATGGGAAGCAGCATCAGAACAGGGAAACCTGAACTGTAATCRACAAATGTCTTGAATATGAGAGTTTAAAATCCCAGACAGACCCCTAGCAGGCTCAGATGGGTTCACTGGTGAAATGTTCCAACCATTTAAGGAAGTAATTATATCAATTATCTAAAATGTCTTTCAGAAGATACAAGTAGAAGGAATATTTCCTAACTTATCCGGTGAGGACCATATGACCCTAATGCCAAAACTAGATAAAGACATTATAAGAAAACTACAAAACAATGTCTGTCTTTAATATAGATATAAAAATCTAATGTAATTTGCAAATCAAATTCARTAATGTATAAAAAGAATTATATACCACAGCCAAGTGGGATTTATCTCATTTATGCAAAACTATTTTGACATCCAAAAATCATTTAATGTAATCTATCACACCAAAGGGCTAAATAGGAACAATCATATGATCATGTCAATAGATGAAGAAGAAGCATTTACATACTCTAATACCCTTCATGATAAAAAGAGAATAGAAACTCTTAGGGAACTAWGAACAGTATAAATCTTCCTTATCTTAATCAGGAATGTCTACAAAAGACCTGCAGCTGACATCATTTAGTTGTGAGGAACTCAAGACTTTTTCACCAATATCAGGAATAAAGCAGGACTATCTCCTCTKGTCACATCTTTTCAACATTGTCCTGGGAGCTTTACACAACACACTAAGATAAGAACAGAAAATAAAGGTATACAAACAACAATGGGAGAAATACAACAATCTTTGTTCACAGGTAACATTTCTTATGTAGAAAATATAAAAGAATGAAAAAAACACCCTCATGGTATTAAAATCAATTATAGCAAGGCTTCAGGATATCAGATTAGTATRTAGAAGTCCATCACTTTCCTACACATCAGCAATGAATAAGTGAAATTTGATATTTAAAAACATAACACCAGGGGTTAGGAATATAGCTCAGGGGAACAGTATTTGTCTAGCATGCATAAGGCCCTRGATTTAGTCCATATAATTGCAAAAACAAACACACAACAGCACAATGTCACATTTGTTAGCACTCACAAAAATGAAATACTTTTGTGTAAATGGAAGAAAATTTATACAACATTTGAATGAGAAAACCCACAAAACTGTGATGAAAGAATTCAKAGAACTAAATAAATTGAGAGCTATACCTTGTTCATGGATAGGAAGAGTCAATATGTCAAGATACTAATTCTTAAAAAGTTGATCTTTGAGTCAATRAAATCTCAATGAAAATACAAGTWGTATTGTGGATWTTGACAAACTGATTCTATAGTTATATTGCATAGAAAAAGGCCCAGATTACTCAACGCACTATTAAAGAAGAATAAAGTCAGGTAACTGACACCACTAAACTAACACCACTTACAATAAAGCTAGAATCACCAAGTCAATGTAGAGTTAGAGAAAGAGTAAATAAGATCAATGAGTGGAGAAGAGAGAAAATAGACTCCCCTTAAATGTAGTCAGTGAATCTTTGACAAAGGAGAAAAGACAATAACCAAAGAAAATATTTTCAACAAATGATGCTGCAAGAATGAATATACTAATTAGARMAAATTAAAAATAAAAATAAACAAGAATGAATATACACATTCAAATGAAACAAAAAACATGGATTTTGCACTACTTGAAAAAATAAATTAAACTRTCTCATGGCCCTATATGTTAAATGGAAAACTATAAAACTTCTCATAGCTAACGTAGAAGAAAATCTAGATGGCCTTCACCTTGAATTTGGTCATGATCTTTTASATGTAAGAACTTAGGTACAATTCACCATGTCCAAGAATAAGCTGGATTTCAGTGAAATTAAACATTTCTGCTCTGCAAAAATCACTGTCAAGGCAATGAAAAGACAAGTCACAGACTGGGAGAAAWTATTTTTTAAAACTTATAAAGAACTGTTTTCCAACATATATGAATCTCTTAAATTCAACCATCAGCAACAACAAATTCTATTTTAAAACAGGTCAAAGATTTTGACAGATATTTCACAAAACAAGATATACACATGGCAAGTAAGTATATAAAAAAGATGATGATGATGATGATGATGTCATTAAAAATTTAAGTTGAAACAACACTGTATACCACTGTGTATTTATTAGAATGGCTAAAATACAGAACAACTGTATTCAGCTGCTAGTGGGAATGTAAAATAGCATGGCTACTTTAAAAAATATTTTAACTGGATATGATGACTGATTACCTSAGAAATAATTGATGAAATATCAAGAAAAAAAATATTTTAACAGTTTCTTTTTTTTCCACTGTTGGGGATCAAACTCCATGCCTTGCACATGATAGGCGAGATCTACCACTGAGCCCTTAGTTTAGAAGTTTTTTACAAAGCTGACCATGTACTTACCATGCAATCATGCTTCTGAGTATTTACCAAAGGAGTTAGAAACTTATGTCCGCAYAACTTAGAAGCAACCAGACAGTTCTTCAGTAAGTGAATGAAGTATGTTACCTACAGACAATTGAATATGATATGGTACAAAACACAMATGAACTATCAAGTCATAAAAAAACTTGAAAGAAACTTAAATGATATTATTAAGTGGAAGAAGCCAATCAGAAAAGGCTACAAAGTATTTATTCCAACTATATGAAATTTGGGAAAAGGCAAAATATGGAGCTGGTGAAAAACATAAGTAGTTTCAGGGGWTAGTGGAGAGGGAATGATGACTAGACTGAACACAAAAATTTTTAGGGCAGTGAAAATACTCTGCATAGTACTTTAGGGACAGATGCAGTCCATTATACATTTGTCTAAACCTATAGAATGTACATTGCCAAGAGCAAGCACTAAAAAGTAAAYTATGGACTTTGAATGATAATGATGTTTCAATGTAGGTTTATCAATTGTAATAGTTTTACCAATATGGTGGGGGTTCTTGCTGTGGAGGATAGCTATGCCTCTGTGGAAACCAGACACATATGGGATATCACTGTACTTTCCTTTCAATTTATCTTTGAAATAAATTAAAACTTAAAATTTTAATGTAGAGGAAATTATTTARCTAAAATATACAATTTTTTAAATTTTAGAGCTTGGTAGAAGATAACACAGATGAAGATTAATSAGCTGAAACACCAAGGGAAAAAATATGGAAAAACACAGAAAAGACTTATGAAAACATAGAGAATGTTTTAACATATAAGGAATTTGTGGTCTAGAAAGAAAGAGAGAAAATTAGAAAAGCAGCAATGTTTGTAGAGATAATGGATGAAAAGTTCTCAAAACTGGTGACAACTCTATAGCAATGTATTTATCAAGCACAATAAACACGAAGCAAGATAAATACATGGAACATAACATGTAGAAACATCATAATAAACTTCTCGAAAATCAAAGGAAAAAGTTCTTAAAAATCAGCCAATTTTTTTCTCTTTTTTTTCCCTCTTTTCTTTCTTTCTGTTTTTTTTTTGTTTGTTTGTTTGTTTGTTTTGTTTTGTTTTGTTTGGTAGTGTTGGGAATAGAACCCAGGGTCTTTTATATACCAGACAAGTGTTCTACTACTGAGATACACCCCAGCCCTCCAGAAAATATTTTAAAATGAATCTTAGTAAGTAGAATCTAATATTTTATACAAGTTCAAAGGTCCCTACATAGCCAAGACATTCTTGACAGGGATTACAAAGTAGAAGGATTCATGTTATTGGATATCGAGACTTAGAAAGCTATAGTGATTTAGACAGTGAATAATCCATTTAAGAAGAGTCAAATCATCAAGTAGAACAGATGAGAAAGTCCATAAAATAACTTTCAAGTGTTTATACATTTGAATTCCTTCAAACACGACACCAAAGAGATATGTAGAAAGAATGTCTTTTCAATAAATAGTATTAGATCGACTGAATATGTGTATGGCRTGGGGGAAGGACTTTGATGCTTATATCACAATAGATAGAAAAATAAATTCCATATGGTTTGCAGAAAATAAATGAGCAAGAAACAGTAATCTTTGAAGATTATAGTAAAATCTCTTGAGGTCTGTGAGAGTAGAAAATCATTTCAGTCTTGATAAGCAGCACAACATKAAAATTTTGTTTATTGATAGATACYRTTTTTAAAGACTGACAAAGAGTAGCATTGGATATGTGGTACAAATGTAGCTAGTAAAATTCAAATTGTCATTATGAGATTCCTCTACACTTAATAAGATGGTGTGAAATCATCAAGTCACATAATACTGTAATMGCATGTGGAGTGAACCACAGAACCAAAAAGGATTGATATAAGAACTCCTCAGAATTTCCTACWAAAGTTTAATGACACATTCCTGAAGACCAGCAATTTCACATCTAGGTTTCTGTTCAAAAGAACCATGTGCACTTGTGCACTCAAAGACCTAACCAAACACATTTTTTTGACTGCCTTATCTTGCATTTGTCAATGAAAACAACTCAAATATCCCTTAAACATAGAATCAGCAAAATCTTATAGATTCATCCACCAGAATACAGCAATAAACATTAATGAACTCGCATGGAAACAACTTTAAAACGTAAAGTATTTATGGACAGCCTTTCTGCTTACCTCTGAAATCCAACCCCAGTTCAGAGTTGAACTGAGAATCACCCAGCTGACAATCAAGCATGGCTTTGCTAAAAAGTGGAGGGCACAGGAGGAGACTTTTRTTTCTACTAAGGAGGTAGAAAGTGGAAAAGAGTGTTGCTTTCATCCTAACACCAAGAAAAGGTCAGATGAACTACATCATGGTAATGTTCTCAAACTTGTCATAGAGCTTGGATTTTAGGATAGTCAAGTGACCTGAAGTCCATGGAATGACAGATCCCTCAAGCAGAGCCATCAGGAGAGCAGAGAAACTGTTGTTTTCTGATTTAGATCTAGATGGTGCATAGAGACCACTGGGGAGTTCTCTCGGGCAAAAAGTCATATAAATGCTAATTTTCCCCAGGTGAGTTTCCTTATTTCAAATGTTGATATTGCTCTAAATTTTCCTATTTTTCATCTCTCTTCAGAAGATTTTTTTTAAAAAAATTGAGAAGTTATAATTGTAATTGTTATAAGCCAAAGGATTAGTCTCTTACAAGCAATTTTATTATTATTGGAAATTTGTGATTAAATTTTATCTTGATCTTATATCAAGCAACTTTACTAAGCTTTCTTGTTGTTCTAGTAATTTTTTAACATGGTTGGTAAAAATGTGTAATGCATACCATCTGAGAATGAGGATAATTGCAGTTCCTTTTTAATCTGTATGCCTTCGTTCTTAATTTTTTTCTTCTACTACTTTAGCTACAACCTCTGGGAAAAAAAAATGGAAATAGAATCACTGAAAGCAGATGTTCTTTTCTTGTTTCTGATTATAAAAATATTACTAAATTTAAACCATGAAATATTAYGTATGCTGTGGAATTTTCTAGATACTCTCTGTTAAGTTATGGAAATTTCCTTCTATTTCTCGTTTGTTAAGAGATTTTTTAAAAATATGTTTTCACATATTGAGTATGTGTTGAATTTTATCAAATGGTTCCTCTTCACCTATTGGGATATTTATATAATGTTTCTTCTCTGAAAATATTCCAGAAAATTATTATTATATGAATTGATTATTGGAATTATCAAATGSCAGTCCACATATCTAAACTCAAAGCCATCTTCATGACCAAATAKTTTGGTCATATTTTTGTTTTACTGTTTCATGTGTGCTTAAAAAAATATGATAAGTGGATGCTAATCCATAAGGGGGGACATGGGATTAATGGAGGAACTTCGGATGGGGCAAAGGGGAGGGGGAAGGGGGAAGGAGATAGGAAAGATGGTGGAATGRGATGGACATTATTACCCTAGGTMCATGTATGATTGCACAAATGGTGTGACTCTACTTCATGTACAACCAGATAAGTGAAAAATTCTGCTCCATTTGTGTACAATGAATCAAAGAGCTTTCTACTGTCATGCATAACTGATTAGAATTAATAAAAAATAGCATTTTCTTGATTTTGACTGACTATATATCTTCATTAAATCAGACTTATTATTCTCTTTGATAACAGACATGTCTTTTATTTTCATCTGTCTATGTATATTTTAAAATACATTTTCCTACATCTCCATTGTTATATCTTTCTGTTGAGTTTTCTTTAATTCATAATGTAGAGGAAGTGTTTATTTATTTATTTTTATTTTTTTAAGAGGAAGATTCTCTTTTTTTAAAGAGAGAAAGAGAGCGAGAGTGAGAGCGAGCGAGCGAGCGAGAGAGAGAGAGAAAGAGAGAGAGAGAGAGAGAATTTTTAAAAATATTTATTTAATTTTCAATGGACACAACATCTTTATTTTTATGTGGTGCTGAGAATCTAACTCAGTGCCCCGCACATGCCTGGCGAGCTCGCTACCGCTTGAGATGCATCCCCAGCCCAGGCAGTGTTTATTTTTAAAATGCTTTTTGAGTGAATGTGTATTTTTGTCTGGTCTTAATATTGCTTTTGTAGTTTTCCTTTTAGGACTGGCTTTATATTTTAAAAATGTCTTTAATGTTCATCTTTTCTGCCTTTATATTTTTAAGTATTTGTTAAATTTATTGTGATGTGTTTTATTATGATTTATTTGTATTATTTTACTTTATGCCTACCTCCTAATACTTCACTATAACTTATCTCAATTTCCTTTGGAATTATATATTCTATAGCTGTTCTTTAATTTGCTTATCCTTTAAATGCTGCTATAAAGAGATAAATGAGTCTAGATTCCTCAACAGTTAAAGGGCTTCTGAATTGTTTAACTGAGTTTATCCTTGCATTCTAACATTTTTTAAAACTTCATTATTTACTTAYTGCCAAATATATTTATACTACATGTTTAGATAAGGCAATGCCTGTTAAAATTCATAATTACAAATTATTTCTTTCTATTCTTTATTTTTCAGTTCTTAAGTTTGTATTCAATTTTCTTTATCTTTAAAGGTTTGTTTATGCTAAAGTCTTCAACTTTCTTGAAAATGTCATTTCATCCCTTTTTGACAGTTTAGATGGATATAAAATAAAGGAAGTTATTTGAAAACATTATTGTGCTATTTCACAGCTTCAATGTTACASTAGTAAAAACCTATTAAATTTTTTATTGTCATGTGTTTATGGAGAATCTATTATTTTTTATCCTCAATTTTTTTCTGTCATCACTTTCATTAGAAGATATTTAGATTGTATAATAAATTTGATTTTATAATCCCACATTTACAATCACTATGCTTTTTGAACTTGAGAAATCATGACTTTCATTGTTTCTAGAAAATTATTGG